TCACACTGTGCACAGGCAGCACAGAAAGGTGATGGCTCTTGGCTCTGCAACTTGCACTGCTCAGAAGCCTGATCTCTTAATGCTCATTCAGATGATGGTGATTGAATCTGGAAGCTGAAAATCCAGGGCTCTGTTTTGCAGCCTGAATGCTAATTAACAGGCCTGGGTTCAGCATGTCTCTAAACACCACCACGTGCAGGGGCCTGCAGGAAATGCCATCCTCTCCTCACATCTTGTGGTTGTGGATCTTGTGGTTGCTGCTTGCAAGATAGGATCTTCACTGGGAAAACGCTGGAGCCCCTGTCAGGCCTGAATTCTGCTCTCGCCTGTCTTTGCACTTTTCTGTCCTCCTTTTGCATTGCACTTTCAACACTGGTTAATTCTCATGGGCTGAGCAAAGGAATCTGCAAAAAGGAGCAAAGCAAAACCAAGCTATAGTCAGTAGGCTCACTTTGCTCTGCAGAGAGTTCATGCCACCGCTGGGGTCCCCATGAGCTTTCATCATGAGTATTCAGTGGCACAGACCTGCCTTTGCCCAGTGCCTGATGCAGCAGGATGCTCATCCTGATGCTCAGAGGCCCTGGGCAATGTAAGAAATATGTGCCCACCTCTTGGTAGGGCCACCCTGAAAACCACTGCAGGCAGAAGGAAGTAGACATAAAGGAAAAGGTGGGTCTTGAGAGTTTTAAGGAGGAAAGTCTTCCTTTACTATTGCTACTCAAGTTGCTTATGCAATCCTGTCACTGTAATGGAAAAAGAGCTTGCATTATAAAAACCCTTGATACTTAGCAGCCCTGTCAGTCACAGGTCTGCCGTTTGGAAGCTGCTTTGGCTGTTTCCAGTAAGCTGGTCTACTTTGTCAGAGTGCTTTTCTTTGGTGTTTTGGCACTTGTCCCCACTCTCTGCTCGTTCAGTGCTGGTGGTGTCAGGGGTTCAGGAGCAGGGCTGGAGCCCGCTGGTTCCAGCCTGTGCGTTCGGCTCCATAGCTCGGTCACGGTTACTGGAGTCCCGCTGCGTGCTGGGTTTTCACTGAGGCTCATCCCATCACCGTGTTGGTCAGCAAGGATGTTAGGAGCAAGTTTTGGAGGTGAAGGTGTTCCTGTGGCCTTGCAAAAACCCGTGCGGACTTCGGAGATGGGTGTTGTGTGCGTGGCGGTGTCTCCTGGCTGCACAGGACTCATGGTCAATGGAGAGAAGGTGTCCTTAAACCCTGGGAGGACTCCTCCTTTCCTGGGTTTTCTCATCATCTTGGTCACCCAGGCTCTTTGGAGCCCTAGCGAGGCCTTTGCTCCATGTGCATGGACACAGTCCCGTGTCCATGTTTTAACAGTGCATCATTCCTTTGGGTGTGAGTGCAGAGATTGAGGACTTCTATGGGGGGGATTTAGCCTCTTTGAGTAATAAGAAGTCTAAAGCTACATGGCCATGAGGAATCATCATGTTTCCCTTCCTTTCCCAACTCTTGTGCATGAGCTGGGACAAGAGGTTGCCAAGACACAGCTGTTCTTGGTCCTTCTCACATTTGTATATGTGGGATGAAGTGGCCAAAAAACAGCCAGGTCTCCCCAGCTGGAATTCTCTCCAAGAGTTTCTGGTTAGCATATGCTCAGCTACAGTGTCTGGCAAAAAATACTGTGATTTGGCTATTCCAAGCTACAGTTCCTTCACGTATAAGTTAAAGCAGCCCCTGAACTCCAGAAATGTGCAGCCCAGGGTCAGGGTAATGGAAACAGCAAAAGAATGATGTGGTTCAGCTCATTTGTTTCCCAGCTGATGTGAGGCTACTCCAGTGTTTTGTCCCTTCAAGCCATAAACATTAGTGGCTGGATTCCTACAAAGAGTTTTACGGTCAAGGCCAGATTTCCCAGCTGATGTGTAAATCACTGTGGGTTCCTGCTAGCAGAGGGGATCAGCCTCTTGCACTAGGTGAAGATCTGGCCCAGCCGAGAGCAATATGTTGTTTCTGGGTATGCTTTCTTATGCTAAAGCTGAGACTGAATGGCAGGAGAAAACTAATCTCTAATACTGGATGATAAATGACATGGCTTTACCAGGCTGGGAGAGAGGAGTGACTTGCACTTCAGCACCGTGTTGCACATCCCAGGTCTCATGCTGGTTTAGCTGGGATCAAGAGCAGCTCATGGATGGTCCATGTTGCTTTCCTCTGGCTGAGGATTTTGACGTTTATAGTTTTGTCTCCAATGCTTTAGCTGCTTAATGCCCTTGTAGATTAAGCTGTGAAATCTCCCTCAAAGATGAGGGAATTCAACCTCCAAACTTTCCTCTGTCAGGTTTAAGGGACAGAGGAAAGCTCCTTAACCAAGGAGCTTCCTATGTCTGTTCAGCCGCAGATCAAGGAAGCTGGTGGAAAAAGGGGGTTTTCAGCTACCTTTCTGGTAAGAACAGTTCTCCTGCTGTCACCTTCACTGGCATCTCAAGGTTTAGCTTAGCTAACGGAGAGGTTTTCCCAGTTGCTTTGCGGATATGAAGGAGTTGGCTATAGAGCACTGCACATCGACATGTGCAGCTCTTGCCCTTTCCAAGATTTCCAGCCACACTAATCAGGGCATCAGGTAGGGCTTGGATGCTGTCCGTAATCTTTCACATGGGTGCTGAAATGTGAGCAGATCCAAGTAGGATTTTATATGTCTAGAATAGTTTTAGGTGTATAGAAAAGCAATAGGACTTAGATTTTGTTTGCTGAAATGCCAAGGCAGCTTACATGTTGCTGCACACGAGCAGTTCCATACACGTGCACCCTCACTCCTGACGTGTCTGTTGACCTTCCAACTTTGAATGATTTCTTCATCCTCTTGATGTTTCTGGTGTTATGTCCTAGGCAGGATTGGTGCCAGCAAGAGGCTGCTGACCTGGCACTGATGGTGATGATGTGTCTAAAGGCACTGATCTGGCGTCAGGACTTGACCAGTGCCTGTAACGCTGCTGGAAAAACCTCCTCCTGAACCCAGGGCCTTTTGGTCACACTCAGGCAGCAAAACAAAATCTCGGTCAGAAGCGGCTGCTGTTTTGCCAAGTCCTGGTACTCAGTTTCCTGGAGTCAGCTGGATGCTGCCCCTGCCTTCCCTAGGCTTGTGACTGAGGAGGCCTTTAACAGTGCTCGTTTTTGTTAGCAATACTGTAGAAACTCATTTTTTTTCCTTCTCTTCCAATTTTTAGGGGACTCTGCTTTCTCTGGACTGTTTTATGTTTTACCTGGTTCCTGGGATTCACACAGGGAAGTTCTGAAGGTAAATTATACCTGTTGTTTGCCTTTTTTTCCTTATTTTTTTCTTTTCTCGTCAATCAAAGTAAAAGCCAAGGACTTTTGTAGTTTAGGAAAATCATCTAATCCATGTCTGAGCTTAATGCATAGAATTAAATGCTTTTATTACTGATCATTGCAGTACTGATGATATAGATGATGCAGTTAACAGCTAGCAAAAGAACCAGCCTTTTGCAGGTGGTTACGTGCCCCGTAGGATTTTCAGAAGTGCTTGTCTGCCTAGTGTCTGAAAACCTCCCTGGCATCTGCCTGCATTTAGTGGCACTTAACTGCTTTTAGAAAGTGCCCCTTGAGGCCAGGGCATTAAGGAATTAAACGTTTCTGGCAGGTTGGTTTTTCCTTGACTTGGATGCAACCCACTTGTGCCTGTGCAATCCAGTGCAGTCACACAGGATTCTGTACATACAGACCTTAAATGAGTTGTAAAAGGTGAATTGAGAAAAAGTCCCACAGAGCTTCTTAGTAACAGAAATACCATGTCTGGATCAAATAGATTCTATGCTGCAGGAGGGGATATTCCATAGGGATGTCTGTATATTCTCAATATGTTTTTACACCTCATTCTGAGCATCCCCTGCATGAGCTGCTGTGGGCACAGGACCAATGGTTGGGCCATAATAATCAGTGACCTGAGGAGACAGAGACCTTCAGAGTTGGGAAGATAAAATAAATCTGTCCCCACAGCTGATAGTGGGAGCTGTGCATCTCTCTAACATCTGTTTGTCAGGGAGCCACCTCATCTCCAAGCAGCAACACCTCTTCCACACGGATGGCTTGCTCAGGGTACATGCTGGAACCCAACAGCTTCCTCTGCAACCAGCAGACAACAATAAGTGGACTAGCAGGCTCCAGGTCTTTCCTCTTAGTCTCCAAAACATGAAGGAAAAATAGAAAGTTGGTCAGTGCCTAGCTGTAAGCCAGCCCATGGAGCTGTTTTTACAGGAGGAAAAAAAAAAAAAAAAAAAAAGGAAAATACATCCCTGCCATCAGCAATTTTGAAAAGTGTAATATTTTCCAAATTCTGCCTCAATGCGAAAGAGGTGAACATCTGGCTGAATTACTTAGTTGAGCAGTTTTCAGAGCAAGCTTTATGTCAGCTCATAAAGAGGCAGAACAAATACCGTGTTCTGGCATCCCTTTTTCAAGGAGATTTTAATGCGCTGTTTAGAATCATCTCTATCCACTGCTTTACTCTCAGGATAATTACGACATGCTGGCATCTTTTACAGTCATTACAATCAGTATAAAGCAACATCATCTACTTGTATTGCATTACCTTAGTGTGGTAGATACCTGCCCACTTTTCATGTACTTTATCTGTGATAAGGGTGTTAAAACATCCCGTTCAATTTCCTTACAGTCAGAGACAGGCTTCTCTTTAGGGGATTTGCAGCAAAATCTTTGGAGAAAGCTGTGGTTGTAAGTAAACCCTGGTGACTTGAGATATTATCACTCAAGATTTTTAAATATGACATTTACAAAAGCAAATAAGAGCTTGTTTGTACATCTGAGTGAGCATTACATTGGGCCAATGCTTTTGGCTTTTGAAAATACCACAGTTATTGCTGTAAGCTTTGGAGGTCATCTTGTACTCTGGAAAGCCAGGGAATGCAGCAGGTTGCTGTCCACTAAGTGTGACAAATCCAGAATATCAGGAGTTAGTGAGTTCATCTCATGAGCATTGACCTTAGTCCATGTGCATGAGAATGGGCAATAAATTTTGGAAATGTAATTTTTGTTCCACCTAATTTTGGTTGTGGACACCAAATCTCCACTGCTAGATGCATCTCTCTCCTGCCTTTTTACTTTTCTTAAGTTTTTGGTGTGGGGAAGAGGGAAGGGAGAGTAAGAGGAAAAAGAAGAGGGCAATAAAACACTTTATCCCCCCTTTCAGATATGATTACATAATTGCTCAGGAATCTCTTGTGCATCTTGCCTCGTGTTCTGTTAGAAAAGCTTTTCCCAGTCCCTCAAATACTGCTACAGAGTTCTGCAACTAGCATCAAGGCACCTGGGACCAGGCAGCTCTAAGTGAATGTGTTTTTTTTTTTTTTTAATAATGTGTTTTGATGGAAAAATCTACAGGGGAAAAAAATGAAGGATGAAGAAAGGGCTTTGCTAAACTTGGAGCTATTTAAAGAAACAAATTATTTTGCATTTCCCATTAGTCTGACATCTCATCATCTTTGGGGATGTGCCCTACCAGCTCAGTGCAGTTGGCATGGGATGCAGAGACAGGCTGGGCGTGCAGGAGTCCGGAGCTGTGAGCCTGGACCGAGTGTTGGAAAATTCACATACATGTCCTGCATTAAGGTTTGTTTTAATCAGGCTTTGCATAAGCATGTAGAATTTGGCTCTATCTTAATGGGTTTTGAGGGAGAGGAGAAGTTGAGTTGTGCTTTTCACCATTTTCTTGAGCGCTGTCTGATGTACTTGTTAATGAGGCAGCTGGATTACTTTGAACAGCAGCAGCATCCTCTGAGCAGGGAAACATCCTTATGTCATTGCAGAGCAGAATGAATAAGCTCCTGCAGTCTGAAATATCTCTGCCCTGTAGAGCTGTTCCACAGTCTGTCTCTGTGAGAGAACCTAAAAATACACCTAGAAATTGGAAGCTGGAGCCTAGCTCCTAGTTAGAGCAGTAAACCAACTTCCTTAGGGCTAAATCCTGATGCCTTTGAAGTCTGTGGCAAGGGTCCCACTTGACTTCACTCGAGACAGTCTTTGGCTCTTACTGTTTCATGGGCTCTGGAAACGACCCAGACTGAAGATACTGCTGAACTTCCTCCATTCAACACGGGGATGGAAAGGCTTCATATTTGCTATGCTGATGGACACCCACTTTAGGCAGGTGTGCATAAAAGTGGTGTAGGACTGAGGTTTCTTGATATATGGGAAATATATCATTATTAATGCTTGCACAAGCAGTGCAATAAATTATTCCCTCTGCATTGAGGGGAACTTCCATCTCCTTTTTTGTCTGACACATCTTCAGGTTAATCTCTGTTAGCAAATGAGTGAAGTTGTCTTTGAAAAGGGAGGTGGGAAAAAGCTGGTCTCAGACAAAGTAAATATTGATTGACTTGTTCTTCCATACAAAAATAGCCAAGATTTTTGCCAAAGTCAAGGAACTGAAATTTTCTCTCTATTCTCTTCTTTTCCTGGCCAGAGACATTACAGGCCTCATACTGGCTTCAGTCTACAGCTCTTCTGGCCAAAACTGAGAAGCTCTTTTGAGTGCGAGTTCTCCAAATATTGGGAATTGTGTTGAATATTTAATAGCTATGGGTGAAGGAGGCCAAATGGTTTCTTTTAGAAAAGCAACCATTTTTTTGGTCTTTTTTTGTCTGAACAAGCTCTGGTTTCTTTTCCTACTAATCTAGGAAAGCTGCAACCCTGTGATGTTAGCTGATGTGCAGCCGTGATTGGCACTGCTGCATTTGATTGCTGAATTCTTACCTGGAGAGATCAGCACTTGGATTAAATAGCAGCCAAAAGCAGCCCGCCCAGCCCGGCCTCTCCAATGAGTGGTTAAATAAGAGGGTTAACTGGCAGCTGAATAACGGGGATTGCATTTGGGCAGAGAAGTGGGAAGGAAATACTATTCTCCTAACTCATTTTCAGCAGCAGCAGTGTCATGGCAATCATTATAATCTTACCTCTAACTGCCTTTACCATGTGTTTAATGTCTTCTACTAGACCATATATTAGAACTGAATAAGCAAATGAGCTTCTGGGCATGTGAGCCCTTTCTTCAGGTCTGGACACATTTACCTTTGTAACTCTTCCTGCATGGGCCCAAGTGTCTTCCCCAGTGAAGCAGTTCAACTGAAGTTGTAGCCAGCTGGCTGCAGTTTGTGTTGCTGTTGCCTGTGGATTTGCCTTGGACTTGGAGCTGTTTGTGCCTCCTGCCAGACTGTGGGGCCAGAAACCAGAGGGTTTGGCTTGCGTGTCCTTTGCAGGGCCCTCTCGGAGTCAGGGCAGAGGGATAGGTGCCTCCAGACACCAATCCCTGCCATCCTCTTCTAAACAAGTCACCCATCGTGTCTAAGGCTAGAGGTAAGCCCTGCATCTTCCGCTTGGTGACAAATATAGCTAAATTCCCAGCTCCTCACAAACCAGGTCTGGTTCTTCCTACTTAGGAAAATAATTTAAAGCTGTAAGATGATCTGCTGGAGGAGAAAAAAAAAAGTGCTGCTGTTGAGAACCTTAAGCTGTTTGGTGAAATTTAGGTGCATTTTTTTCATGCTGGGAGGCACCTTCACTTCCCTAAACTCTTCAGAGTCTCAAAGATCAAAAGCTGTTGCCTACTAATCTGGAAAGAAACAGACCCAGGGCTCTTGCCCCCTTTGAAAGTTATGTTCCTTGCCTTCTGGGGATAAAAAATTTTGCAATCCCAGCTCAGTCTGTTCAAAATTCCTCTCCAGCTGTGTGGTCAGTACTCAGAACTAAATCCCAGAGAAATGGAGTATTGGTGCTCAGTGGGAAATTTCCTTGTGGTGAGGTCAGCTCCCTCCAGAACATCTGGAACTGGTCCCTGGTGGGACAGGACAGAGCCGGATGCGCCATGGAGCTGATGCACGTTGGGAATTGCTCATTACTGCCCGGAGCGTGCACTTGCTTGTGACACGAATTGTGGGAGTACAAGCTGAGTGCTCAGTGTTGTGTGTATTTGAACACATTCGTGTCAGGATGTTTGGGTTTTCCTGTAACCTGTCTCCTTTGTGCTCTGCCTGGGCTGGCCCCTTGCACCCCCCTGATGTGGATCCACCTCTTGGGCTGCCCAACAACACACACTTTCTCTACGCTTTCTTTTCAGATGTGGATGTTCTTCAAAGACTTGGCCTGGCAGGGAAGAAACCATCGAACGGGTGGTCCTTGTCACGTGCAGTTCCTCAGGGGGTCATTCCTTTCAAATCGGGGGTCATCTTCACTCAGCGAGCACGTATCGAAGCACCAGTCAGCACCATCTTCCCCAGGGGCTCCAGCACTGACCTGGTCCTGGTGTTGAGCCTGTGCTCCCACCGTATTAACAACGCTTTTCTCTTTGCTGTCAAAAGTAAAAAGAAAAAACTGCAACTCGGGGTCCAGTTTGTCCCTGGGAAGATTATTGTGTACGTGGGCCACAAACGCTCTGTATATTTTGATTACAATGTCCACGATGGCCAGTGGCACAATATGGCCATCAATATTCGAGGCCAGACAGTCACTTTATTTACTTCTTGTGGGAAGCGCAGAGTACATGCGGATTTGCATTTTAAAAAGGACGAGGCATTGGATCCACATGGATCTTTCCTCTTTGGGAAGATGAACCAGCACTCGGTGCAGTTTGAAGGAGCCATCTGCCAGTTTGATATTTATCCTTCTGCCAAGGCAGCTCATCATTACTGTAAATACCTGAAAAAACAGTGCAGGCAAGCAGATACCTACCGGCCAAACTTGCCGCCCCTTATCCCACTCCTGCCGAGGGATCCCAATGCCTCCCCGAGTACCCCGCAGCACCTGGACCCCTCGCTTCAGGGTCTGAAAAACCTGACCACTGTGACCCCATCCTTGGAGCTTAGCAGGGTCACTGCACCCTTGAAGTCTCGGAGTTCAGGTGCAACAACCATCCCATCGGTTTCATCAACGTTGCCACTGCCAAGACCGACCAAGCAAGCCGTAAGGGTCACAGTGGCACCGTCCCCTGTTCCGTCGAGTACTGAAATGCAGCCACCCACCCGTTCCCTTGCTCGGGTGACAGCAGCGACTCTCAGGGTATCTCAGCCAACCCCCAGCACACGTGTGGAGAAGACGTCTCTTCCCCTTGCCAAAAAGGCCCCCTCTACAACCCAGAGCCCTGCTGTAACCAGCAGGAAGGGATCCAAGCAAGAGACCAAAAACAAGATCAACCAAAAACCAACCATTGAGCCCTCTGGAGCACCCGCTACTGTAAAGTCTATGAAGAGGATGACTGATAACACAACCAGCGATATCCATGTGGTAACCCTAAAGCAAACCCCACAGAACCCAAGCAATGGGCCCGTTCCAAAGAAGCACGTGCCGGCCCCGGCCAGGAGAGCGGATCCCAGCCATGTCCCTCTGGTGTACTCCAAACCAGCTCTGGGGACTGCTCGACCCATCACCAGAGCTGGAGCACAGGCTTCCAACCTCACAACCCCAGCTGCAACCGATGGCTATCAAATCTTTGACCCACTTGGACCCACTCCATTTCCATTTCTACTAGGATATCCGGGATCAAAAGGGGAGAGAGGACCTCAGGTAAGTGCAGTCTTACGATGATAGCTATTGCTGTTGAAGGTCAGCCCACAGGTTGGCAAAACATAACCTACAAGGATTTCTTCAACATTTAGTGGAGTTTGGCACCTTCAAAAGGAAGAAAAGCACTGTTGCTTTTCTTAAAAAAAAAAAAAAAAAAAAAAAAAAAAAAAAATCAGTGTTGGCTTGGGTTCTGCTCTATCTCCAGGATCAGGGGGACAAATTCACAGGAAACTTCCCAAAAAGAAAGTGTCTCAAGATGCATCACAAAATATTTTTTCTTAACCTTGGTTGCTAACTTGCTTGTACTTGAAATTCCTATTTCCAGAAAAAAGTCCCATTTTAGCAAATGCAACTACTTCAGGTTTTTTTAAACAAGCCTCCTCCATTATTTATTGTGTAATTTAACTTTTTATTTCTCATAGCCCATACTTATTTAAAATGTGCAAAAAGTTTCCTTTATAAATTTAACTACTGCATTCCACATACAATAACCACTCTCTGGGTGTATATCTTGGCCATCAGAAAAGTATACGTACATTTTGTAATGCTAAAAGCAGTCAGGCCACACTAATTATCTGCTAACTTTTTTTAAAAAAATCAAGTATGCAAACAGGATCTCTAAACTGGCCAACTTTCAGGAGGATTTGGTGTTCCAACCCAATCCTTTTGCTGTACTGTGTATGTGAGAGGGGTTGTGCATGTAAAATAAGTTTCTCCCAGACAGAGCCTTTGGTTGCCAAGTTTCAGCCTAGAGCAAATTTTTACAGCTGACTTCTTAAAATAGTGAAAGCAGGGTTTACAATGGAAAAACTGAGGCTAGCTTAAGGAACACAGTCAATGGCACTTGGGTCTGCAGATGTGCTGCTCACTGCTGCAGTAACACCTACAATGAAAGGGTCATGTTTTGCAAGCATTCAAAGCGTGCTTACCTTTAAGCCCTGCATTTTGTGCCTTTCACATCACAAAGCCGCTGTTGATTTTTCTCCTTGTAATTTGCCTGGGGAATTACTGAGGCAGCTGGGTTTTTCCTAAGGTTCCTGAGGCCGCCCTGAGCTCCGGCCGCGAGCGCCCGGGCAGCCCTGGGCTCTTTTGCTCCTATGGCACCTCTGGCTTCAAGTGTGAGACGCACATCCCTGCGTCTCTGCACTTGGAAAAGCCCAGCAAAGCCTATCCGTAGGCAGAAGGAGCTTCAGCAGTTTTCTCTCTGGCGCCCTGTTTCTGAGCAGTGTTTTGTGGAGACTCATTTCAGGCATATTTCCAAGAGCAGAAATTGAGACCATTGTGAAATCTTTTTCTTAAAACATTGCTTACCTGTCATGGATAAATGTGTGGTCTGTTCTGAGCCCAGTGAAATCCTGGACTTTTCCACCTTCTTGCCCTAGAAGTGTTATGAAGGCGACCGAGCTCCAAGTCCCCGCTTCCCCCTGCAATTTAAAGAGCTTATTATTAAATCAGAGTGGAAAATCCCTCTCAGCTTGTGAATCATAGCGAACAAACCGATTCAGGTCATGGAGAGCTGAGAGAAGAAAGAAATGGCAGATATTTTTCCATCTGCTCTGAGAGAACAACTAGAGTCCTGAATGGAGGGAAGGGAGAACATCTCGCGTCTTGGCTGCTGGAAACAAAGTCGGCATTGGGGATGGAAGGGGTCTGGCTGCCGCGGGGCTGGATCGCTCCTGTGACTCACCCGGGGATCTCTTACAATACCTCGTTGAATATCTCTGACGTGGGCAGAGAAAGAGGGAAAAGGAGCGGAATCGTGATGACACGTTGAGAAATTAATGTAGCGCTAATGGCCAGGCCAGCGTGTTTCAGAAGGAGCACTGATAAATGCTTCGTGGTTGAGTAATTACCTGGCACTGACCTCGTGTTACTGGGCAGACATCTCTGATGAGGTCAGTACAGCCCTTCCTGGTCTGGCGTGCGGTATCTCGGCCCGCCGCTTCCCCTGGATTGAGCAGGTTATGGGCCGGGAACCGGCATTGGGATAATGTGAGCCTGGAAGGATAAGGCAGGGAGTTTGCCCACTCGGATTGCCCTCTTTGGGATAGCTGTTGCTCTGTGCAAGGGGAAGGGTGGGTAGAAAACTGCCCTTTGCCTTTTCAGCAAGGATTTGGGTTAGTTTGGAGGTGATCAGTGTGTGCAGGTGGGCTGGCAGCCTGCTGCTCCCGGCCTGCTCCATGCCAGAAGAGCGGCCTGGGAGTCTGCAAGGCCAGTTGTGTTTTTCCTCCCAACACCCAAGGGTGACAGGATGAGCCCTGTTCCTGCAGGGTGTCCTCTGGGGACAGGTGAGGTGGGGACCAGAAAGGGACGGGGAAAACCCGGCCTAGTCATCTCCATGCTGGGAAGGTGGGCAGGGGCCTTCTCCTGGTCCCACGTGGCCTGAGGCTGGTGGGTCAGTTCCCAGCCTTGCTTAGGTGCAGTGTCACCCTGTGAGTGGAGAGTGTCTGTGGCCTGGTGGATGGTAGAGCACAGGCAGAGACTGGGGTGCAGGTTTCCTTTTCCCCTTATGCTCTTCAGGACATGGCCACCAGCCTTGATGCTCCTCAGGCTTTCCACCCCGAGAGGAGCACCCTGGTTGTCCTCAAACTGGGGTCTGAGCAACTGCCAGGGCATGAGGCTGGATTAATCAGGCACCACGTGCTCTGTTAAACTCGGTCTTTTTGAATACTGCAAAAATGTAGCAAAATCCTAGCTGTGCATAGGGTCCTTTCCCCACAACGGGAGAGCTATCTGTGTGGTGGGAGGAATATCCTCACCTAGCAATAAAAGGCAGCATCCTCTGTGGTTTAATCCGGGCAGCTGCCCTGCAGCAGGAAACGAGGACACTGCCCCACATGCAGTTAATGGCCGAGCATGAGTTCTTCAGGAACGTTGGGTTTCCTGGGCGGCTAAACGAGGGAGGATAATGTGCCCTTGAAAAGAAAAATAGCTCGAGAACCATTAATAACCACAAGCATTTGGGACATCAGCCCTAAATCTCTTCTGGAGATGGGGAAAATAGCAAAAAAACCACCAAACATTGTGCGAAGTCAGGAAGGCGGCCCTGACTCGGCAGCTGGCACGCGTCCCTGCAGATCGTCCCCACAGCTTCCCACAGCACACGGCCAAGCCCAGGACGTTGTCCCCATCCCCATATGGGGCCACGCAGGTCTGTGCTGCACTCGTGGGGTGGTGGGAGCCTCATGCGTGGCTGTTTGGACCCACACGCAAGAAAAACTCTCTTCTGTTGGTGCGCAGTGAGGCAGAGGGATGAGGGAGGTTGGAGATCTTTGGTGGATCTTCATGCGCTCCCGGGGATGGGTTGGTAACAGCAGTGGGTTTGCTGGGGGCTGCAGCCCCTGTCCCCGGTACTGCCCACCGGGGTGGCGGCTCGTTCTGTGCCACCACGTGGGGCCGGTGTCCCCGCAGCACCCGTGTCCCCGTGGCCACGTCCCAGGCAGAGCCGGCAGTGGTGTTTGGAGGGCAGATGTTTGGAGGGTGTTCGCAGTCTAGACTGCTCCATCTGCCATGTGCTGCGCGAGCAGTTTGTCTTGGAGCTCAGCACCCCTTACAAAGGAACAAACCCGGCCAAGTTGGTCTGCGCTGGGGAGAAAGAGGAGATTGGAAGCGCTGATAAAATAAAGTGCTGGTTTCCAGTCCTCCTTGTACCAGAAAAGGCTCCTAGGGCAGACAGTGCATGATAAATTCAGAAACACACAATGTGTTTGAATGTCTCTCAATGAGTCATACTAAAAAAAAAAAGTGTGCTTTTTATAATACATGGGAAAAATTTTAGCTTCACTTGCAAAGTTGGGTCATACATTTTTGCTTATTTAATCAGTACTCTCCCCAAAGGGGAAATTTGTTATAGACAAATGACTAAGCATCACAGGGCTCTGTTTGTATGAAATGAGGCTTATTTGGAGGAGCAGGAGCTGCAAGTGTCAGTGGCGTATAGGTGCTGGGACTAATATAGAAATGCATTTGTTTAAGTATGTATTTACTTAACAAATTATCAAAATAGAAAAAGAGTGATGTAATATAGGATCCCTTTATTTCTTCACACTCCTTCAGACTTTCTTCCATGGTCTGAGCATGTCTGAGTGTCTCATCAAAGACTGTTCCTGAAATGCCTGTAAAAGAACTGCTTTCCTCAAACAGGAATACTGATGTTTTACCATTTATTGTATCGTCACACTACCAGAAACCTGGCTGTGACAAGGATTTATTGTGACGAGTATTGTATAGACCCAGAATAAATGTGTATTGCAGAGATTATATTTCAAGCTTGGCTTTTCACCAGCATCCTGGTTTCTGTTAGAATTTTGAGGGCTTTTTCTTCTTAGTCTGCTTAAAACTGTGATGTGTTCAAATTTAAATCCCTCTTAGAGCTGGCTTTTCACCAGCATCCTGGTTTGTTAGAATTTTGAGGGCTTTTTCTTCCTAGTCTGCTTAAAACTGTGGTGTGTTCAAATTTAAATCCCTCTTAGAGGAGAGTAACCCAAGTTGGATTTTTTCCCCAAACCTCTGGATTTGTTTTAGGCAATGGTTCAAGCGAGCCTTTTGTTCCCTTCCTCCCTGAGAAGTGCCTAGCAAGGACAGCTCTCCTTGGTGTTGCTGATAGTGGTGGTAGGAAGGGTTTTGTTTGACCCTTGCTTGTGACAAGCTCTCTTCCATCTCTTCCGTTCTACTGAGCAGGGAAATGTTAATCCTAGTTTCTTCCTCATCCCTCCATTCTGGTGCTTTCCAGAGTTACAGAAGAAACTTTTGAAATGCGGCAATTTCTGGGCTCAAGGAGAGCAAATAGTGCCACTAAGCATGGATATATAAGAGGGAAGAGGTTTGTTGAAGAGGGCCTAAAGCACAGATGTGCTCGC